CTGATCGAAGATGTCTGGGGTTATTGAATTGCATAACTCGTTCCACTGAACCTCAAACTTTTCCCAGTCCGGGGTTGAGAAGTAGGTCTTGATATTTGATAAGATGTTGTTCTCGATGTGCCACTTGCAAAGCAAGTTTTTTGAATCGGGAAAGACTTCGTTGATTGCATTCATGAGTGCTAGCTCTTGATCGGTGACTACAGCTTTGGATGTTAGAATTTGTGGTCCGTAGCAATCCCTCAACTGATTCAAAGCCCATACATAATTTTCTTTACTTTCACTTTGCATGAAACAGAAGCCTAAAGACAAAGACTGGTGGGTTGAAGAGGCACCCATGATGTGTAGGAGCGGAAACTTGGCTCTAAATCAAGAAAGGAGTTTAAGAGTAAGTGGAATTTCTTTGTTAGACGGCTTGGAGAAATTAACATTACTGGTTTGTATTGTAAGTTGAATCCATCAATAGAATGTCAGTTGTGCCAAATTCCTCGGCCGCCGATACACAGACAGTTGGTGCATAGAATAATCGCAGCAATTGGCCGTCATCATTTTGTACGTATCGGTGGAAGACATTCGTTGTTTGAAGGGTATCTAGCAGGACTTCGAGTGATGAACGTCCTTGCATTATTTCACTACACTTTCTTTTCTTTATGTTATAGATGTCCTGTGCGGTGCTGAGGTTGCTAGGGTCGGAAGCCTTCAGTGTACTCAATATTACTCGTGGAGGTGCCCCACCACGATCCATTGCTAGGATGTTCTCGTGTTGCGTCTCCGTCAGCCTTTGTTCAGCGGGTATTTCAGAGAGTGTTGTTGAGCGTTCGTGGTTATGTGTATTGTTCATTATTTTGATCGTCCACTGAAGACCTTCAATGCGTAACAGCTGAGCATACCACTCACAACCTAGTAGATGACTTGATGTCATGCGAACTCTGGTGTCCAACTGTTTTTGTTTACCACTATGAGCGCAGACCAAGCGAATTTTTCAAACACGTTTTTGAGAATCCGTCTTTGAACCAGCCTTCTTGAGAGAGTATCCAGCATTCTTAGCACACATCCGTATTGCACTTTCAGCTTCCTCTAAAGATGGATAGGCTTCGAGTAGACCACTGAAATCCATTGAGAGACTGTGTTGGTGGTGAGAAAAGCTGAAGGGACTAAGAAGTGTGTGAAGATTTATGTGGACCTGGTACGGTACACTGGGGCAGGACAGATTGAGTTGTGTGGCTTAAGGCTTGACCAAAACCACTTAAGCTTTTAAGGGGGTGCGTGGACCAAAATAGGGGGGTGGATATACTGGGATCCAAAAAATAAAATAAAATAAAACAAAAAGATTTAGAACAGGTTGGATAACAAAACAAACTGAACACAGCTTACTCAAGTCTGGAAAGTTCAAGTAGGCGTGTATGTAGCTTTGAGGTGGAGGACAAGTATCTTCTGGTTCAAATCGTCTAGCTAAAGGAGTCGGTTCCGATACAATAGATCGTCCATCGATCGAGTGTAAACTGGGTCCGATGGCTGGGTTACTGACTGGTGAGTGGATTGTGCTGATCGGCGAGTATTTGGCAGCTTCAGAGTCGATATCGTGAATTCGATCGACTAAGTCTTGTAACAAGTCTTGTTGTTGGTTGTTCTCTATAGAAGACACTTGAAGCACAAGAAAGAAGAAAAGATAAAAACAAAAATTTGATTAGAATCAAGAAAAATCGAGAATTATACAATTCTTGACTCGACAGATATAGAAGAATAAGTAACTGACTTGTTACTTATTCTGATTGTATTACTGGGTTAGATACGCTCCGTCAAGATCTAGGAAAGCACTCAAAAGAATAAAAATAAAAATTATTAGACCAATGATCTTTACAAGTTTATAATGAGAAAACGAGATGAAATAAAATGGAGTAAAACTGAACACGTAGGATTTTCAACTTCAGATGGCTGGATACAATCAATGTAATTGAAGTTTGGGGACACTGCTGAAGGCCTATAACCAATGGATTTTTATACCTTCGAATCAGAAAATAGGGTGCTTTTGTTAAAGTCCCTAAAACAAACAATATGCTGATAAAATTCAAAGCAATACGCTGAATCAATTCTGATGATATCACTTTCTCAATTGATGTGAAAGGAAAAATACAAATATAAATCACTTACTCGAAAACTTGTTCTTGCAGAACTAGTATTGATAAGTCCGATGTTTGAAAGAAAACTTGTTGTTGATAGCTGAAGTCTAAAAAATAACTGAAAACTTGAATTGAAAAGTGCTTGCTATCAACTGTTTTTTTAATTATCAGAAAGGAAAACTTGGAAAAGAACACTATATGCAGTTAATTTCCACTTACTAAATAAAAGTGTTAACTAGAGTTCCTTCTCAAGTTTTGATCTTTGATGTAATAGGGTTGTTGATTGAATTTATGATGTTATTGTATCGGCTCACCAACCGTTGTGGTGTTTGTGGGATCTTTGGGTGGGGAAAGGGAAACTGACGCAGGTATACTACCCGGTGCTGGAAATAACCCTTGTGACAGTTGAAAGCCCTGTCAATCAGTCTGACAGTTGGATCCTTTGTACTTGTAATTCACACAACAATTATAATTGCACGTATTCTTTCACTATGTTTAGTGTGATAGATTCAGATTACACACCTCTTCTTTTATTGTGATATAAAATTATATGTATGCAGTTGGCTACTACGTGGGAGTATTAACCTTAACTTACTTTCTTCCTTAGCCAACTTGTAAAGATCAGATATTACTATTTCAATTAAATTTTCTAATAGTGATATTTTAAAAATTTATTTTAAATTAAAAAAATTGGGGTGTCAAGAAAAAATGTAAACTGAAGAGGCCTTTTTTTTTGAAAGAGAATGTGATCTCAACAAAAAAAAACAGAGGAGGCAATTGTGATCTTAAATGAATAAAATCAAAATCCTCTAATTCAAAGGTGATGCGCACTACTGATATTAGTCAAAACGGTATGAAAAGGAATTCTATTTTTTTTTTTATTTTGATTTTTGTATGATTGAGAAAAACAATTAAATTATGAGAATTAGGATGATTGAGGAACAAAAACACCGATGAGGCCCCCAAGTTGTGAGGGGTACGCGTCTGTTAGGCGTACTCTTCACTGAGAAATGTGTAGGTGAAGGGAAAACTGGTCTTCAATTGGTACACCCAAGTGAAGACTACAGTTAGTTGACCTCTGAGAAGAGGGTTTAAGGGAATAAAGGGGAAGGAAAGGGCTATTACGCGTAAATACGCTAAAACCTCGTGAGACTGCGAGGGGCAGGCTTTACACTTTGGTAAACCAAAGATCCTGAGGCTACTTTAGACTCCTGGTGAGGGAGGAAGCTTTACTGCTTTATGGTTTATTTCTAGAGACGTTTATGGCCCAGGGCTCGTAGAAATCAATACCAAGGGTGTTCAGCAATGGAACCCGTAATGCTCAAAGATGGTCTTTTAGACTACACAACTAATCACGTACTCAAAGATCCTCTCAATAGGATTTCAAGTATAATGTGATTCTGATGTTGTGGTGTGTGAAAAGATGGGGGATGAATCAAGGGAAGAAGGGGGGTTTATATATTCACAGGTCAAGCGTCAACTTGTGGTTGGCGTGTGATTCTTGTCTCACTTGTGGTTGGCGCTTGGGTTAGGTTTGCTACGTATTTAATACATTACGTACATGTGTTTATGTGGCTCTTGACACTGAGCCGTGAGATGTACTTATGGATTTATACAATAATATAATATTACATATGTAACTGTTAGCCCGTGGTCGTGTAATCAGGGCTCAGGGCTGACAGCGCTGTTGACCAAGAGAATCATCCTCAGTATCAGAGCAACATGCTGCTTCTGGCAGGAGATCTATAAAGTCTTGGAGGAATTGTTTGACAGTGGATTTACGGTATATAAAGAGCTGTAGACTGTTTCAGTATGGCCATCACAACTTGATAGGTTGCCAAAAGGACTAGGATACTTACATCTCGTCGCTTCCTACTGCGCTCCCGCTGTGCAATCTTTTCCGGAGAGGCAAACTCATTCTTCCAGTCTTCAATTCGCCCAATGACCCATCGAGTAACAATACCAATATAGATAACTTCCTTCTCCCATTCGACATCCAGTCCAAACTTTTGAAAAGCAGATGCCCTCCTGGCAAACATCCAATGCTTCACGGTCAAAAAAATCATCACTTGATTCCATGCAGTGTCTTCACCTCCCTGAGCTTCCCAATCAAAAGTAAAAGGTCCTACGATTTGGTGGTTGGCCATATCAGTGTGCAGAAGAGCCTTGAAAACACTCCAGTCCAATGGATTTGGGTGATTGTCGGAGCTGTAGTTGACAAAGACTGAGGTGTCGGTCAGGATGTCTTCCTGTGTTAGAGGTGTGAGTGACATCAGCTGATCATCAGTTGGCGGGTTGGGGAAATGTGGGTGATTCCTCGTGTGGCCAAGCAGGTAACGTGTGAACTTGGCAAAAGATTTACAGGTGGGGGAGTTTGATGTTGGAAGTATCTTGGCAAATGAGCGGTTTTTGGCCTTTCAACCTTTTGGTGCGGCACCATTGGGCCAAGCTGGGGCAGAGTTTTGTGATGTGGACACTGAGTAGAATGGAACCACGTCAATTTGAGGGGTTGAGGAGATGAGGAATGGGGAAATTTATACCCATGGTTCTAATTCAATAATCACAGTTGTGAACTTATTTCTGTCAAAACTATAATTGAATGATTGAGAGTGGCAACCTCGAAAATCCAAAAGTATGTTGAGAGTTAGTTGAGTGAAATGTGGTCAAGGTTGAGGTTGAGTTACGTGAACTGTGGCAGACTGGATTCTCCGCAAAGTAACTCCTTAAAAGGGAAACTTCCATGTATGGCTGTCACAGATTGTGAAATCTGATTTTCACAACACAGGTGACACAAGGAACTCATACTCAAAAAAAATGTTGGGAAAACTATCCTAATTTCAATGGTAACAAAAACAACAAATTATATAAGATAAGAGCAGCTGTTCAGGAGGAAGAAAACGCCATGGAGTTGCTTTTCCCAAGCTTTGTCTTCAAAATATCAATGGCCAACTTAAGGTCAACTTTGGTGTCTGACAACTCCAAACTGTCAATTGTAATCTCATCTATCCCTTCGGTGAGTATTTCTGGCTTGATGAGGCATCTGGGAAGAGTCTTGGGAGGAAGTTGATCTTCCGGATCAGGAACATTTGGCGAATATCCTCCTCTGGACTGGAAAAATTCTTTCAGTCTATCCTTTTGTTTTTTGGTGCTCTCCCTTTTGGGAGCTGCATCATCAGCCAGTTTGATCAATTCATCAAGCTGGGGGGTCCGCCAGTTGAGCTTGACCTTCCTAAACTTCCCAGGCTTCTCTGGGTCCATTTCAGTCTCAGAATGAACCTCTTGAGAGTTTAGCAGGACTTTGAGTGGACCGGTGAAGTGACAAAAGTAGGGCTCTACTGCTGCAGCCCGTTTTTCACAGAGCTGCACATGCACATGTCAGTATGGGTGCTTTAGAGAGTGGCAACAGTGAAAGGGGATATAATAGTTACCTTCTTCCTAATGGCTTTCAAAGCAGTTTTCTCCCTCTCCGTAAGTTTTTGGCGGACAAGCTTGTCACTTCCTCCTTCTGTAGACACCAACTTCTTTTCCTTTGCCTCATCGCAGAAGACTCTGCGCTTATTCGAGACCCAGCGTGAAAGTATTTCTCTAGTTTCGAGGGGAATATTGAGGCTGCTGTCGATTGGGAATCCGGAAGGTACACCTCGAGCATTGTAACAATCTAACCAGCTAGTAATTAAGTTGTCTAACATAGCCATGTTCCAAGGAGTTTTAGGAGGACTCGTCCATTGGAAAGTGATGCGAGAGAAGCCACAGCCAGCAAATTTAGCTTCAGCACATCCTAAGCGAGTGGCATCGTAGGTGGTAATCGAGGCAGTAGCATGAGCCACTCGGGAGATAAATTTAGGAGGGGGAAAAGCCTGGTTAAACATGAGAACAGCTTCTTTTGACACCATAATCCTCATTTGATGCTTGACAGATTCATTTGCTGAGGGGTTATTTTTGAAGCGCTCGTCCATCTTTTGTTGAATGTTGACATCCAGATATTTTGTCCTTGTGTCAGAATAGTTGGCCCACTGTTCAACCTCTTCAGGAGTTGGTTCGTCAGGAAGGTGGCGTGCCAGGAGGACAGCAGCAGAGATGTTAGGAGATGACCGGGTGCTGGATTGACGAGGAAGACCAAGTAAAGCCCTAGCCCACTCTTGAACAGCAGAGGTCAGGCCTACAAGCTTGAGACTATCTGTGGGCTCTTTCCGGGCACGCATTTCCTCAGCATCAGTTTTGCGCTGTTGTTGTCTACGCTTTGCTTCCCTCTCCTTGGCAATCTGAACAGCAACAGCTTGCTCAAAATTAAGTCCAGGCTCTTCCTCTGGATGGTCTATGAGGGTGGATGTGATTGCAAGAAATATGTCAGTTTGATCCTCAGTCTTACATGAAATGGAGACATGTCTGTACTGACTATCAAGCTGATCCATGATGGGATCCCTTTCAGGCACTGCAGGCCCACTGTTGGTCCCCCCACTGTTGGTACCTGGATCAGCTGGATGATATGGATGGAATTAGTTGATGTACAAGGTTAATATGCAAGGTTATGATGCATGAAGATACCTGAGGTTCCTTCCATTGCTTTGCGTTTGGGAATTTTGGCAAGGTTTCGTGAAAAAATGTATTCAAGTTGGATAATCAGACTCAGAAGTTGAAATTGTGAAGATGAGGAGTTATTGATCCAATTTGAGTTGAGAAAGTGAATAGCAGAAAATAAAATTCAGATGGAGAAGTTGAATGTTGATGGTTGGGAGCAGGATTGAGTTGCAGCAACCATCAACTGGTTTTGTTGAGGGTTGAAATTGTTCCCTTTGTCTTGCAAATTGTTTGGGAAAATCCAAGTGGGTCTCATTTGGATTTGCCCAAATAGCATAGAGTGGCAAAAACCTGAAGGAGGCCAGTGTGTTGCTCATGGTAGCACTGGCTGCATGTAGGCCTAGTAGGAAACAATTTCAAAGGCTGGTATTCTTTGAGTAATTCAATAGATTCCTCTCAACACTTGAGTATGAAGAAAGCGAAATTGGTTCCAGGACAACAAAACAATTGCTACATTCTGATCAAGCAAACAAAATTGAAGCTGCTGAATGAAATTGGGAAACAAATCTAATCTTTGGTGGGTGATCACCTGGCCAATGCTATCCGTGTTGCTCCTAATTTCATTCATCTTTGCTAATTTAACGGTTCAGAAAGATTGATGTTGCCAAAAAACACTGCAAATTTGCATATAATGTATATGGACCTAATTTTTCCCTAGCCCTGACCATGTTATAAAGAAATGAATTTTGCTCAATTGGCCTCTGTACCAAGTTCCATGTTGCAATTG